TGTCTTGGATTCGTATTGACATCATTCTATCATTTTTGAGATTGTATCCCATTACAGCTTTTCCCACTCTTTTGTTGACTATGAAGGCTACTCCATTCCTTCTATGATTCTTGTGCACAATAGTACATATGATAATCATCTGAGCTGAATTCGCCCATTCCTGTCCATTTTAGTTCACTGATGCCCAGAATGTCGATGTGTGTTCTTGCCATCTCCTGTTTGACCACCTCCAGCTTCCCAAAGTTCATAGATCTTACATTCCAGGATCCTATGCAGTATTTTTCTTTGCAGCATTGGACTTTCCTTTCACTTCCAGGCACGTCCACTGCTGAGCGTCCTTTCGGCTTTGGCACAACCACTTCATTAGCTCTGGAACTACTTGTACTTGTCCTCCGCTCTTCCTCAGTAGCATGTTGGACGCCTGTCGACCTGAGGGGCCCATCTTCCAGCGTCATATCTTTTAGCCTTTTGTTTCTGATCATGGGGCATTCTTGGCAAAGATACTGGAGTGGCATTGCCATTTCCTACTCCAGGTGGATTACGTTTAGTCGGAACTCTCCACTATGTCCTGTCCGTCTTGGGTGGCCCTGCACGGCATAGCCCATAGCTTCTCTGAGTTACTCAAGCCCCTTCGCCACAACAAGGCAGCAATCCATGAAGGGGCTTAGCTTCCTCCAATCATGAGCCTTATGGAACTGATGTCAGTTGATGCTATAGAAACCAGTTGGAACACATCTTGTTGGAGGTGGAGCCTGTAGGCGCTGAAGCAACAGGACTCAAAAAGTCTGACCATTCAGAGCCCAGAGACGGAATCCTCAAAGCTAAGTTTTCTTAATTTGGGGGTTAGAAAAAATGGAGGGGGGCATCTTATAAGTGGGGGATATTATAAACGGAAAAAATATGGTATTCCTGTTCTTTTCAGCCCAGTGCTCAAGCCCATACATCATTTTTGAATTTTGTTTCTGTCTTGCAGAGTGTTAGTTATTCCACCCAATTCTGGGTCATTCACAAATTTGATTGGCATTCTCTGTATACCCTGATCCAGGTCATTAGCCCTGGAGTACTCCACTTGTTACTTCCTCCCAGTTTAAGGAGAAATTAAACACCACCCTCTGAGTATGATTCTGTAGCCAACTGTGTAATCCACCTGACCACTTTATAATCTGATCCAGAATTTTCCTTGGGATTGATGTCAGGCTGACTCGTCTGTAGTTCCCAGGGTCCTCCTCTTTGCCACTTTAATGGATTATTTAGGGACTGCAAGGAAGTAGTTCTAACTGGCAGATTTAAAATCTTTCAGAAAAGATCTTGAACTTTTCTATCAAGAGCATCTTCCGTATGACTTTAATTGGATATCTGACATAAAAATAGCTATTTAAACATCACACAACTTGGCCAAAGTTAGCCAGTTTTCCAAATGCGAATTTAGCTGGATAGAGGGGAAAGTTCTTGTGTCTGACTAGGTAGGAAATTTGGAAAGCTCTCTGTTGAATTTAACAAAAGTAGATGTCCTTTAAAAATAAACACAACCAAATGAAATACTTTAATGCAGACACGTGTAAGGCATGTAGACTGGAAACTCACATGGTTGAATCTTCTTGTAAAAGCAACTGCATTTGGTGCAGAACTATATTTCTCCCTTTTATTCCAACCACAACTTGACAGCTCCTAGATTTAAAATAGTGAGAAACAATGATACCAACATAATATTTACATATACTTCAAAACAATCAGCTGTTTTTGGCAAATAGTAAGACTGGATTTGCTGGCTGTAAATATGAGTGCTAAATGTTCTTTCTGTCTACATTTTAATTCAGGTTTTTAATAAGTTATGCCATTAAAAAAAATTAAAATAAAAATCTTCCTGCTTTGTGGGGCACAAGAGCAAGAGGCACAATTTTGTTTTGCCTCCCTCAGCTAATTCAATTTCTTAAACTCATTGATGGAAACATGATCCATTAATTGTAGAACTAATCACAGAGAAGTGGGACGTGGTGGCGCTGTGGGCTAAACTGCAGAAGCCTGTGCTGCAGGGTCAGAAGACCAGCAGTCGTAAGATCGAATCCATGCGACGGAGTGAGCTCCCGTCGCTTGTCCCAGCTCCCGCCAACCTAGCGGTTCGAAAGCATGCAAATGCAAGTAGATCAATAGGGACCACCTTGGTGGGAAGGTAACAGCGTTCCGTGTCTAAGTCGCACTGGCCATGTGACCACGGAAGACTGTCTTCAGACAAAACACTGGCTCTATGGCTTGGAAATGGGGATGAGCACCGCCCCCTAGAGTCGAACACAACTGGACAAAAATTGTCAAGGGGAACCTTTACCTTTACCTAATCACACAGAATTTGAATGGGTCGCTCTGTACACTGCCTGCTGATCTTCTCCATTTATGAAAAGCCCAGAAATGATCAATCTTGTCCATTAGATCCAGCTAATATATGCTAGTAAATGGTACTGCCATTAACCTGATTTAAATCTACTAATAAATCATAATTTGGCTAATTGTGCTTGAATCTCTGGATCACATACTTTCTCCTTCACTCTATAATTTGACCGAGCTATCTTTTTCCATCCCACACAAACTGCCAACTGTGGCTTTGCCTGCCCTTTCTTTACCCTTTATCTGACAATTTCATGTACACAGATAAGAAAAGACACACAGTAGGGAGTAGCTCATGAACAAACCAGCTGTAAGACAATGTTCATGTGCATGAGAGAAAGAGGGATAAATTGCATTTTTAAGCATACATTTATTTCAGCTAACTAGCTAAAATTCATCTTAAACCCATAATTTTTAAGTATGACGAAAGTTCAACAATAATTTTAATTTAACAATTTTATACTAATAAAATATATGGTTAGGTTTATTATATGTACAGTGGTGCCTCGCATAGCGAGGTTAATCCGTTCCGGATTAACCTTCGCTATAGCGAAACATCGCTAAACGGAAATAAAAAAGCCACAGAAACGCATTGAACTTTGTTCAATGCGTTCCTATGGCTTTAAAACTCACCATTAAGCGATCTTCCTCCATAGCGCCGCCATTTTCGCGCCCTCGGTAAGCGAGGGCAGGGCGTGAAAATGCAGCACGGACCTTCTGTCATGAATTTGATTATGAAAATAGAATAGTGTTGTATTTCATAGGATTTAGTTCAGAGCTGCAACGAAAAGCTAGAAATCTGCTTATGCCCAGGTGCTAATTAGAGAGAAAATGTACAAGGTCAGTTCTTCTCCAGATAAAGAAAAAAAAGAGTTAAGAAGAGCAAGCTGACCCTTATCTTATCTCAGCTCCGATGGACAAGGACATAACTTCTTAATTTAAGGAAGATGGGCGAACAGGAGAAGGAGAAGGACGGAGAAGAGATGACATACCGAGAGAAATGCAGCCGACAGAACTTTAATCAAAAGGATTGCGTAAGAATGCTTATTTAAGATCTAGTTAGACATTTTATTGTTTTCATTTTATAGAGGAAATAACTGGTGGCTAAGGCTGGGGGTTATTTTGGAAATACTAAATGACGTTAAACTAAGCTTGTTGAAATGTTATCTTTGGTAATAAAATATAAAAAGACAAATTGTCTGTAAGCTGTCTCCTTGTTTAGACCATGCTACAGTAGTAAATTGGATATTTTTGACTAAGATTATTTTGATTTGGCCACATTACCATATTACCAAAAGAGGGTCCTAAAGTAAAAAGAGGAAGAGCAGACCTTCCAGATTGTTTATTTAAAATCGAGACAGACTTGGGTGAAGGAGTGTGAAGTCGCCTAGAGCAAAATTACCGGACCCGGTTTTGCTGGCATTAGGGACTAATCATTCTGAATCCCTCTCTGTCTCGTGTAAAGGCAGTTCTAAGGAACGCTTTTACCACA